ATCACTTGGGCTGTGCCGGCTAGTATCTTTTATACAATCATAATGGGTTGGGAGACCTTTAACCCAGACTCACCTCCAGGGGACTCGGACCAATGCACAGCTGAGTTCTCCAGGAACATTGTTTTTGAGATAAGCTTGACGATTGGCTATTTTTGGATTACACTGATAATTATGTGTTGTCTTTATTTGGGCATATACCGCGTGGCGCTAAATCTGCAAAAAAGGAGTGATGCCAAGCGTCGTAAGATGGCAAGCCTTGTTTCGATGGCCGGACAGACTATCTCAAAAATCGGTGTTAGCCTGACTCAAAACATTGGAGAGGTTCATATCCTGTCTCATTCGGAATGCGAATTAATGAATAATCAGCAAGCACAGCACGCAAAACAGAAAGGTAATAAGTGCTTTTATAATAATAGCAAGCCGAGCGTTGCACCTCCGTCATCTGGCTTTGATTCAGATGATAAAGACTTTGAGTCCAATCATCCATGCGAAGACTATTATGATATGGAAGCAGTAAAAAAAAAGATGCAAAATAATTCTGCAGGAATTTTTCATAGGCCAGGGTGGCAAAATGAGAGGAATCGGCCCCTTCAATATCCCACAAATCAAGCAGAAAGTCAAAATCAGAATACTCAACAATTGCAGAATGTACATAATTCGCATGATAAAAATTATCAGGCATGGCCTGCCAGATTGGTAGGTCAGGATAATCAATGTTGTTTGGGTATTGCCGATCATTTAGAAACAGAACTGTTCCATCTGACAAAATCAGAAAACGACTTTTATTCCAGGGCTGAGTTACCTCTACACTCAGCATATCTTGTTCCTCCTAGTCGTTGCCCAATCAGTCAGACTCTAGAATCAGTTGAATCGTTTCGGTTGAGACCAAGAGAAACTGCTTCGGTTGCTGCAGGCTGCAATTTTTCAGACACGAGCTCATTAGATACCGGACCAATAGATTCTGGATCAGTCAGATACTTTTCTTTGCCTGACAGCCTATGCGGTATTGTGTCGCCATTTCTGGCTGATGAAACCCGACGAAAAGGTTCAACAGCAGAATCATCTTTTGAGTATGATGAAAGTTATTTAGTAGGCCAAGTATTTCCTCCTATATCACCTTCCCTCCATTTGACAAGTAGCGAGTCGGACCACGATGAACTAGAGAAAAAGTTTATATGGAAGCAAGTGTTTAGTGAACTGGGAAGGGTTGAAATGGATAGTTGTACTGAAACATTTTCTGCGAAGTTGGAAAGTATCAAAACCGAAATAACTGCAGTTGACCATCTGACGGGTGGCAAGAACAGCTGCATGGAAAGATGTGGTTTAGTCCTCCGCCTAGAAGACCAACCTATTAAAATAGAAACGCCAGATCAGTTGGACCATTCAGGGCCTATTGCCAATGACTCAGATTATCTTACAGCCAGCGCACCTTCCTCCGGTGCCTCGCCTCAACTAGCGGGACACAAAAGTTCTATTGACGACATATGCCACATAGGAACAGCTAGATCGGAGAGAAAGGTGTTGCCTCAGTTTCCTCTTAAGCCATGTAATGTACAGTATGCCCAACAATTGGATAATTCTGGAGCCATGGCAACGCATATGGAGGTGACAGAGATTAATTCAAAAGAGATAGACAATTGCGAAGTCTTTCAGGGCATCTCGCCACCATCACCTGTATGGAAAAGTCGTGAGGAGCGTGAGTTAAGAGCAAAACTGTTCCAAGAGAGAATGAGGCAAACCTTGATGCAGAAGCAGTCAAATGTACTATCAATTTCAACTAAGACAAGTTGTAAGGAGAGAACGGTAGTCAATGAAAGCCAGACGTATTCAAGCCCACAGGTGAGACCCAGTGGTGCCTTATTTCTTAGACCATCCAGCAGGGATTCCC